AGAGAGAGAGAGAGAGAGAGAGAGAGGAGGTGGTGGTGGGTGTAGAAAAAGCTGTGGAGTGTCTTCCCACACATCCTCAGAGAATTCAAACTCTTTAGGGTTGAAGTTTATCTAATTAAAGAAGATTGTTTTGTAAGTTTAGTCAAATTCAGCTTTAAAAAAAAAAAAGATCCTTTAAGGTCAGAGTCCAACTTTTATTTTCAGTTTTAAAGGAAATGTCAGAATTTTTAATTCATTAGGTTCCCTCGTTTAATTTCTAAAAAGTTAGGAGGCTGTGAAAATTGTAAATAGCCTAAACAGAATTTAAATCAGACAAAGATTGACTGCACACAAATACAAGACATATAAGCTGAAACTTGGAAATGTACATTTTGAATTTGATACCAGTTAAGCTGGGACAGTGGTCACATAAATGCAAAAAGTACAGAAGCCCTAAAAGGACATCCCATTATCACGGGATACATGCATCAAATTTCTTGAGATCCAGCATTGTTATTTGAAATTATGACATAAATAAGTTGAGGAATCAAGCAGAAATAGCTCGTTTTGATGGGAAACCAGAGTAAAGCAAAGTGTATGGATGCATGTCCTCTTTGGCCATTGTACTCAAAGAACAACCTGTCCCAAATTCTTTAAAAAAATAAAAATTCTGCCATCAAATCTAAAATGGGAGAATAGTTTTTGTTGTCTTATTCTATTCTTAACTAAACATGAGGTTTCAGTGGTTTGTGTATCATCACATTCTGGTTTTATTTACATTTTGCACGTCTCAATGTTTTTTTAGGAATGGGGTTGTATTTTAAAAACTTACAAACACACTTGAGTATTCACATTTTGAACTACACAAACCTCAGAGTCTCTTTAACCAGTTTCTCTTCAGTGACACAAACTTCTTTTTTACCAGATGATCCTGTCATGAACTTTCACTTTGTGTGGGTTTTGGCGCCCCCTGTGGACAAAGTGGTATATTACGTCTCTTTATTGATCTTTTTCTGCACGTGTAAAGTGTATTTATGATGAAAAATCTCTTTGATTGTATCACTCACTGTGAATTTTGTGGGGGGGAAGTATCATTCTGATAATTCAAGGTGGAAAAGTTACATAATGTTGCTTTAAGGGGCCCTTCCTCCATTTGGGCCCATGGGTCGTCAGCCCCCTCCCTCCCACTAAGCCGCCCCAGAACAATGGGCAAAAATTGGGTGCCTGTGGTACCAAGTAAAGCTAACACAGTCTGATTTGAAAGTGTGACTGTAGGATTAGTCTGACTTGTTTTATTTCTAATCCAGTTAAACAATGTCCAGCATGTCTGGTATGGTTTTAATTTAAAAGCTAAATGTGCCACAGAAGCTGATGAGAGGTCACCATGAGCCAATTGTTTCCAGTGTGGATTAAACCCTTTAATAAAATCCAGCTATGTGATTATTCAAGGCACAAAGAAAAGTCAAATGATTCTTTGTTTTGTGCTTCAGGGACTCATTGTAATAAGAAAACAGTACATTATAGTATATACGGTACAGTCTGGGTGAGTCACAATAAACACAGACATGTTGTAAATCCTATAGCATTACAAAGACATTGTGGTTTTTGGTCGCTGGGAACGGGAAGTCCATTTTTATCCCGGGTCATCTTGTGTGAGTCAGTTTGCTCTCTTTAACTAAACTCCTCAGTCGACCCTCCAGGGCACCATTTTATTATTTTGTTTGTTTTTTATGTGCAGTGTACTTCTGTTGTGGTGATGAGAGCGGTCACACGCTCACATCAGGTTTCTTTTCCCATCAACTGTTAGTCGGAAGGAGGAAATTACTCTGTTACAATCATTACTGGAGCTCCATATTAAAAACAACACCGCACTGTGACCCTTAGAGGGGGGGGGGGGTTCAGTTAGAGAGAAGAACTCAGTGGTGTCATAGCTAAGATAAGAGAGACCTCTAGTGGACAAAATGTGTATTACAGTAAAGATGAACGCTGAAATGATTGGAAACAAACACTAGAGGCCCTCTTTTTTTTTAATAAAAAAATCTTCAGTATTATGCCAAACCCCCCTCAACTTGCATTGTGTGTGATTAGTCAAAAAAGTAACTGCAAAGATCAAATCACATTATGTGTAAATATGACTGTTTGCATACTTTTGTACATGAGCCTTAAGCAGACATGCATAAGTACATTTTAATAATAAAATACCCATCATCATAAAAAAAGTAAATAACCAGTCGTCATGCATGTCTTTTTGTTGTGATAAAAGGCGATTTTCAAAACCTGTAAAAATGTAATTTTAATTAAGAAAACACCCAAAATGCTAATGAATGAGTAAAAGAGAAAAATCCTCCACAGAATCCCAGCCAGCCAGAAACACAAAATTCAGAAAGAAGTGACAGGGTTGTTAGTCAGGAATGTGAGGATGAGGAGGAGAGGAAGAGGGGGTGAAACTACCTCTCCTCTCCCCAAAAAAGAGCCCTCTCGCTCGGACTTGGATCCCAAAAAAAGCCCCCAAAAGAAAAGAGAAATCCCAAAGAGAGAGAGACTGAAAAAGTTAGTTTTCAGTCTTTTCAGGGTGAGAAATAAGATGGAGGGATGGATGGAGGGATGGATGGATGGAAGGAAGGATGGATGGATGGATGGATGGATGGAGTAATGGATGGATGGATGGACAGATGGATGGATGGAGGGATGGATGGAGTAATGGAGGGATGGATGGATGGATGGAGGGATGGATGGATGGAGTAATAGATGGATGGAGGGATGGATGGATGGATGGAGTAATGGATGGATGGATGGATGGAAGGATGGATGGATGGATGGATGGACAGATGGAGGGATGGAGGGATGGATGGATGGATGGATGGAGTAATAGATGGATGGATGGAGGGATGGATGGATGGATGGAGTAATGGATGGATGGAAGGATGAATGGATGGACAGATGGATGGATGGATGGAGTAATGGATGGATGGAGTAATGGATGGAGTAATGGATGGATGGATGGATGGACGAATGGATGGAGTAATGGATGGATGGATGGATGGAGGGATGGGCAGACAGGCTGATGGATGGATTGATTGATGGATGAAGGGATGGAGTAATGGATGGATGAATAGATGGACGGAAGATAGACGGACGATGGACGGACGGATGGATGGAGTAATGGATGGATGGATTGATTGATGGATGGAGTGATGGATGGATGGAGTAATGGATGGATGGAGTAATGGATGGATGGATGGACAGATGGATGGATGGATGGATGGAGTGATTGATGGATGAATAGATTGATAGATAGACGGACTGACGGATGGATGGTTTTCCATTGAGAGTATTAAATGGTGATTTTATAATCGATCGTGTTGAACATTTTCTGGTTCCCAAAAGGAAAGTTTGCATGTTTTGAGGAGTCTGGTTCAAAAAGCTACATTTCAGAATTTCACCTCCAGCTGATCATAATTATAACATCTAACTGACTTAGTTAAACTATTTTCTGACACTTTTTATAAATCAATTAAAACAATTTAATATTTTCAAAAAATAATACAAAAGCGTTAAAAAAAACGTATTTTCCAATGAACAGATGATTTATTTAATGTTGTTGTTCCTCTTTCTGAAGTAGGCTCGTGGGTCTCTGTTCACCTTTGAGGGCTGATAATTGCAGAAGTTTTCTTCCTGTTTGAGACATTAGTAAGTTTGCAGAAACACAGTCATAGTGTGTGTTCTGGGAGAGTGAGTCAGTGCAGAAGTTGCAGCTCAGATATCTCAGCTGATTGATATTATCAGGCACACACACACATGTGTTGGTATTGCAGCGTCTGTTTTCCTATGTGTGCTAACTTTTTCTGTTGAACAAATAACACTGAAAACAAAGCCTGGTAGTAGAAGTCTCAATAGATTACAGTACTCTCAGCACTGTCTGCAGAACAATAAAAAAAATCATCTATAGATTATATCTGTGCATAGTTTTTTCATTTTCCTCATTTTGCAGCAATTCTTCTGACTTTAACTTAAATAGCATTTTCAAGGGACTCAGCTCATTGGTCATGACAGAAGACAAATGACCAGAGTTATGAGGTGTGTTAATCTGGATCATCAGTGGTGAACGTGTGGATGTGTGTGAAAGCATAACGTGGTGTGAGGTGTTGAAGAGTGCACTAACATAATAAACTAAAGAAACAAATGTTCAAATGTTGGTCAGTCTGAGGGAGATCAGACGTCAGAGAGTGAGTGAGAGAAACCAGCAGATCTTTGTAGACCAGAGTGCACCAGGGCTCAGGTGCAACAGAATCAAGCCAAAGACTACCAGCGGCCTGGTGACAGGGTCGTCACACTTGAAGCTAAGTATTATTATGTCGTGTGTTTGCTCGTTTTGATTCATTAAGCCGAATTAACTTCCTTTTCTCTGACTATTAACATTGTGTCTGCTTGACATTTGCTCTTTTAACTCTTTGTTTACAGGCAAAGACATTATATGCATATCTACGGAAGCCCTAAGGGGACATATATCCATGCTTTTTATTTGACTCCATGTGATACAGCGTCACCATCTTTGGATAAGGATAGGATAATACTTTATTGATCCCCTGAGGGGAAATTCGAGCGTTGCAGCAGCACAGACTCTGTAAAAAAAAAAACTAAGAAAAAAAACTTATGCAAAGTTTTTGCAAACAAGCGGACTGTTGTTTAACCATTTAATGACCTGAGCTGAATGAACCACGTTACAGGCTTGATTCTGAGAAAAAAAAACAAATAAAGTAGAACGAAGAAATCAAAATATTTGATTTCCTTTAATTAAAGGGTTTCTTTAGCGAGCCTTTTGATTCTGATCTACAAAGCTTTACTATTTACTATTTCAACTATATTCTGAAAAACAAAACCTGTGGCCCGCAAGCGATTCTAACACGACAACTTTGGCCTGCAAGAAAAAAGTTTGGACACCACTGAGTTATTCATGAACAGGAAATGGCTGCACTTCCCCTTTAAATCTTTTTCACCACTTACCACTACTTCTATTAAGCCCCGCCCACTCCGGCTCGCGTTCACTGCCCGGTCGTCAGCAGGTCTTGTGACTCTGCAGTCTTCTGTCAACATGGACACAGCGCTGAGATTTACTGTCCTGCTGCTGACCCTGTCCTTTGGTGCGGGGCTGCAGCTGAACTACATCGATGATTATGAGGAAGAGCCGAAGGAGGAGGACGTTTCTGCGGATTCAAAATACGGCTCTCTGTGGCCTCTTCCGCAAAAAATCCAAATGTCTGAGATTTCATTCAAGTTAACGAGCTCCAGCTTCAAAATAGTTGACGCCAAAGAGTCGTCGGCTGGTCCGAGCTGCAGCCTCCTGAAGGACGCCTACAGGAGGTAAAAAAAAAAAAAAAAAAGCTTTATTTCTATTTAATTTATTTGTGTTTTGTTTCTCTGCAGTCGTTTGTGATTAAGAAACAATGCACCGTGCTGCGTTCAGGGACCCGACAAGCGCACAGTACAGCGCAGTCACCACCTCCTGTGTCTCGCTCAACAGGTACTATGAATACATGTTTGGCAGCTCCAAAAGGCAGCAGCTTAACAAAAGAAGGAGAACAGGCCCCTCGGAGCTGACGGAGCTGCAGGTGCTGATCACATCACCTGACTCTGATTGTGACGGGTACCCCAGTGTGACTTCTGACGAGTCATGTGAGTCTCCTCTCTTCCTCTATTTATTATATTTCTACAGGATCTGTTGATTCTGTGTGCTACAGAAATGAAAAGGGGATCTTCCCAAAAACATGAAGCTGTTGTATTAAATTAAATCTTGACCCACACAGATACAAATATTTACAGATAAACTCGGGTGTTGTCTTTTCCACAGCTAATTTTATGTATTTATACACCTGCCTAGAACACAACTTTAGAATACTGGAATATATCTTTAATGTACAGGCTGTGTTATTTGCCATATTATGAGTTTTTTTATTATAACATATATAATTATTAGAGCTGTCAAACGATTATAAATCAATCTGTATTTGTATAGCACAAATTTATTAAAGTTCAGTTGTGAAAGTAAAAACTAGTGTGAACCCAAGTCACATGAATGACAGCACAGCACAAAAAACAAACCACACACACACACTCGTCACATATCAACATCCAAAGTGCACTCAAAGAGTCCCGAGTGAAGCTATAACAAACGATGCAGACAGATCAGCAGTAAATAAAGTTAACAAAGCTCATACGGGTTAAAAAAAAGGTTAAACATCATTTAAAGTTTATATCCTGAATAAAGTCTACACCAGGATATTAATTGGCGAGTAAACATGGTCTCTGATAATTGCAGAAGCTTCCACCCTGTTTGACACATTCGGATGTTTGCAGATAACACAGTCATAGTGAGTCTGTGCTCCGGGGGAAAGTGATTCAGCACATCCGTTCACAATTTCGTCCGATGTTGCGTTAACTGTCACTCAGAGGGTCAGAACAAACACCAAGCTGTTGGTAGTGTCACCCACCTGGGGGAGGGGTTACTGCCCTTTGTGATGTCATGAAGGAAAAATCTCCAAACGGCCCGTTTGAGCACACATTTTCTGAAAAGTGGAGCAGGCAGAAGACGGAGCGGATGGACTTTTCTCATGAATCGAGGGGTTTGTAGACAGACTAGGGACACATGTTAGTTTAAGAGGAACATGGGGAAGAGGATTTTGCAGAATATGTACCTTTTAATAAATTAAAGACAGTTGCACAATAGCAGTTTATTTGAGGATATATACACATGTTAGTATTTCAGGTTTCTCTTCTTTTCAAGGTTGATGTTCATTCCAAAACTCACTTGTTATAGAGACAGTGTTTACAGCTACTTTCACATTAAAAATGCATCTGAATACTTTGATTAAAGGGGCATTTATCTGATTAGTGAACATTATATGAAACGACTTTCCATTGGAGTTTAGGTGGATGATAGTGTAGGTACAAGGATTAACACGGTCAACACAGAGTGTTCAAAGCCTCCCTGAGTGTTTAAGACCCTTACTTTAACAATATAATAACCACCTGCAGAGCTTCAACACTTACAGGAGGACACATGCAGTGAACAACCGTTTGTGTCCACAGATGAGCTGTCAGTGGATCAGCCGTACGCCGTCCTGAGGGCACCAAAGGTCTGGGGAGCCCTGCGTGGTAGGATTATATATATATATATTTTTACTGTTGTTTCACCAAAGCAAAATCTGAATTATTTCCCCTTTTTATCAAATTAAAGTCACTCTTCAGTAACCAATGAGGGACTGAGTCTGTTTGATACAGTCTATGCAGATGATGTGTTTTTGTGTTTCTGGTGTTTTTAGGTCTGGAAACTTTCAGCCAGCTGGTGTTTGAAGATGATTACGGAGCTGTAAGTATAGAACAATATATAATAAAAAAAAAAGAAAGGCAAGGCAAGTTTATTTATATAGGACATTTCAACAACAAGGCAATTCAAAGTGCTTCACACAAGACATCAAAAGCATCATGACAGAGGAAAGAAAAGAAACATTAAAATAGAAAAAAAATAAAAATCACTGAAATTATTAAATCTGAAAATATTTTCAAATAAAAATAATTAAAATTAAATTAATTGAAGTAAAAATATAAAAAGAGTTAAAAGTTACAGTGCAGAGTTAGAGTTTAAAATCGTATCAAAGCTGTTTAATTAAAGGCAGCTGTAAACAGGTGAGGCCTTGAGCCTCGATTTAAAAGAGCTGAGAGTTCCAGCAGACCTGCAGTTTTCTGGGAGTTTGTTCCAGAAGTTTAATAGTGAGGGATTTTTTGTAGCACTTAGATGTTTGTAAATCCATTGTACATTAAGACTGAGGCGACGCTGTCCTTTACATGAAGGAGGCTTTTTGAATGTTTATGAATATTGTGATTAAGTGTCATTGGGTCCATTGTGTCTCCTGATGCACAGGCCTGATTATCAAACTTAAACAAATTTAGAGGAGGTTCCTGGATTGAATCTCCATCTAACAGGAGCTCTGTGTGGGATTTGCATGTTCTCCCTGTACATGTGTGGAATTTGCATGTTCTTCCTGTACATGTGTGGAAATTTGCATGTTCTCCTGTACATGTGTGGAATTTGCATGTTCTCCTGTGCATGTGTGGAATTTGCATGTTCTCCCTGTGCATGTGTGGAATTTGCATGTTCTTCCTGTACATGTGTGGAATTTGCATGTTCTTCCTGTGCATGTGTGGAATTTGCATGTTCTCCCTGTGCATGTGTGGAATTTGCATGTTCTTCCTGTACATGTGTGGAAATTTGCATGTTCTCCCTGTACATGTGTGGAATTTGCATGTTCTCCCTGTGCATGTGTGGGTTCTCCGGCTTCCTCCCACAGTCCAAAGATATGCTTGTTAGGTTAATTGGTGACTCTAAATTATAAATAAAAGGTGTGATTATTATTATTGTGATTATGGCAGGTTTTCTGTCTCTATATGTCAACCCTGTGATTGACTGGTGAAAAGTCCAGGGTGTAACCCCGCCTCTCGCTGAGCCGATCCCACTTGTCATTGAGAAAATCTGTAAAATAGTGTCCCACTTTACTTGACGTCAAGTTCACTGTTAAAACGGTGTAATTACAGCCAGTGTCAACATG